ATGAATGCAACTGATTATTTAATGTTTAATGTTTTTTTATAGGCAATATTTAGCTTTGTTAGTTCCAGGTTTAATATGTGCAATAAGTTCATTCAATAAGTTTTGCAATAAACATTGAACCAGTCCGGCCCTCAACTAGTACCCATTTTATTATGTTGGCCCACTGTGTATTTGAGTTTGACCCCCTGGTTTACAGCATCGTTCTGTTAGCTGGTGTTTACTGGACTTTGACCAGGAAATTCTGTTGAAGTCCAACAAAGGTATATCTCTTCGGTCATAACGTCTGGTAAAAATAATTCTCCTTAAGCACAATGTTTTGATTCGTATAGTGTTAAAAAACAGGCTGAATTTCAAACAGAATTAAAACAGCGCTTGATTTCAAGTCAACAGCAGCACGCCTTAATTAAAATGTCATGAGCCAGACATGCCTATGTATTTTGGTTTGTTTACGAATAGTTTGTATTCTGTTTTATGTTATTGAAAAACATATAGGCTTAAAAATGAGGGAATTATTTGTGTTAAGAGTAACAGGCTTGCGTAATATATATATATTTGTTTGCGTTATGTATACATATATTACGGGTTTTAAGGTCAATAACAAAAACAGATGACGTTTGAATTGAATTTCTTCCATCTTTCCTGGACACGTTGACTGGCACCAATTTCTTCAAACGGAAATGCTAGTATACACATCCCTTAACTTTTTCACTTCCACGCATTTCTAATCTAAATTTCCTCTAAACTTTCCTTTTCAAGTTTATAATAACTTACAGAACATGATAGAAGCACTTCCATCATCTTCTCAACTCACCTTTCCTGTTCTCCTCCCCCGACTTCTCTCTCTTTTACCCTTTCTTTTCCACCATTTATCCCCCCCCTCTTTTCCTCTTCCATCAATCCATCTTCTGCATTTCTTCTCCACTTGACTAAGAGGAAATTTTTATCCACCCTCCATCTAAACAGCACTTGATCCCCGACTCGGTCACAGGGACAGATAGAGAGCCATCTAGGGTAAAACATCTCCCTCTCATCCTCAAACATTCCTCTTCTTCTTCTCCTCTTCCTCTTCTCCTCCCCACTCACAGCCTCATGTTTGAATTATGCAGATGTATCTCGGATTGTATTTTCTTCCCTAAGTGCTTCCATAAATTGCCATTCCTAATAACAGCACATTGTCGTCTTTTCGTCTTGTGATAAGAGAAAAAAGCCTCTTATGCTGTCCGTATCCTCCAGCTTGTCCTTAACATATCACTCATTGAACAACATGCACACAAATACATTCAGTGGAGCAATTTCTTTGATAAATCTTTGATAAATTGGGTGAATTCTATTGTCCTGAGGGTGGGGAAATTGTATTAATTACCTTATTTCTCTTTACTGTGGGCCATCTGTCTGGAAATACCCTCTGTTTTTCCCCAACGGAAATCACCATTATTACCGTAGATTTCAAGTTGTTTCTTTGTCTTGAAGCTTTCTCCCTCCGTTGTTCCCCCCTCCTTGTTTACATTCATCCCATGTGATCCGGCGGGCTGCATTAGCTTATTTACAACGATCATAATCCGACTGTAAACATGCAGGGCTTTAATGGACTCAACGAGGAAGTCGTGCAGGGCCGGTGGACGGCATCTCTTGACCACACAATGGGCTCATACGTAGAAATGAAACATTAAGCCATTCACAATAGGCCATGTGCCCTTATGAATGCCTATAGCGCCTTTTGTCAGGATAAAGGCACCACAAATGAGCTATTGTCTGACTTAACCGTTCTAAATCAGGCAAGCCCTCAGGCGCATGTTTTCCACACAGCGCTCAAGAATGTCTCCTTTTTCTGTGTGTGTGTGTGTGTGTGTGTGTGTTGTGATGTGTTGTGTGTGTGTGTGTGTGTGTGTGTGTGTGTGTGTGTGTGTGTGTGTGTGTGTGTGTGTGTGTGTGTGTGTGTGTGTGTGTGTGTGTGTGTGTGTGTGTGTGTGTGTGTTTTTTTGACGTCCTTGGTGACTTGGGCATGAGGCCCTGCGTGACCGTGACACCATCTGTGTCGCGTCCGCTGGCACACAAGCCAGAGGAAAACACACAAACTCAGGAGAATTAAGGAGTGTGTGGACATTACTGTAGAGTGTGTGCAAAGGAGGAGTTTTACATGCAGACAAACTCATACAGGTATGCCATAAAGAAGTATTAACTGCGACAAAGTACACTGAATCACAAGCAAAGTACTAATTGTAGGTTTCATATTTGTATTTGCGCCTCGATTACCACATGTTTACATGCTTTAATGTTCAAAAAGTGCTTATTTTTTCTTCTCATACTGCCTGTGCTGCCTGTACCCTGGAGGGAACTTTGGGATTCTAGCCATTTACATAAAAACCTATATAACATGCTACAGGAAAGGGAAGGCTGCATCAATGGAGACGTGTCAGTGCAAAAGGGGCTGCTATGTATGTGTTGGCGTCATCTTAACCACACAGTGTGAATTGAACATACAATTGGAAAGAATCCAGTGAAGTGACAGTTCTTAAACACTGTCTTTAAGCAAATGTGCTTTCCCACAGATACCTGAAAGCTTTGTGTTTTGCATATCCGTCTTTCCTTTATGCAAAAGTCACACCCAAACACTCATGCTCGCACATGTGCAGATATTTCAGTTTGTCTCTCTCTTTCTCTCTGCTATCCGCCCTTGAATTGAACAAATGAGACCTTATGAATCTAATGGGACCACATGTCTGTTATCCTGAGGCTATGAGACACATTGTGAGACAGATGACACAAATACAGCTATCTCA